CTCATGTCTGTGGGGATGTTTTTGCTTTGAAAAGAATGTTTAAGTATGGCATTAAACAAATGTCTTCACGTCACCACCAGACTGTGTTACAGATATACAGATATCATATTTTTGGAGAGACAACCCCCCAGTACAAATGAATGGTATATTTAGCTATTAAAACAAACCCCTGGATCCCTGAATTAAAGCTATACCATGAAACAATCCAGAGAAAGCATCTCCATGGAAACAAACAGGTGGCATACCCTCCACCAGAAAAAGTTATAGAGTTCACCTTTAAAGGGCCCATATTATCTGTTATAATGTTATTTCCTACCTGGAGTTCTTCTCTCAAACAAAAAACAATTCTACCTTGTGATGTCATGTTGCAATACATGACCATACATACATGCCCCAGAATTGAATCTCTACTAAAATAAAGGCAAAAGGTATCCTGCTTCATGGCATCACAAGGTGGAACATTCAATATTTTGAGCACTGGAGATGTAGACAGACTGATAATAACAGATTAATTAAACATGTGTGAATTAAACAAAACACAACTCCAAGTATGTTTTTGTGATGTAACAACTTAACTTTGTAACATGGCTTAAAGCTCACAAGAATCGAATTTATGTAAATAGGGCCTTTAAATTTAAGCCTTGGATGAATAACTTTGAGAAACATGAATCCAATTTCCCTATGTAATTTGAGATATGAGTTTGTACCTCTCATAAATGGCTAAATTAATCTCCATTTCCGTCTCTTTTCCACACATTACACAGAGCTGAAAATGCTTGTGGGAATGTTACTCATTGAAGCAGAAGGTCTGAGGTCTCAGCACAGCCCTTGGAAAAGAGCAGTTCTTGTGTGGGCTCATTTGTCTGCTTACCAAAAAGAATAAAGTAAAAACCCTTAATTTGTTTTGGCATTGGTTGGCTAAACTGAACTGCCAAAAAAGACTAAATGAGGTTCTCTGTTTAAAAGAACCACTTATTTCTCAAATGATTTAACAAATAATTTAATATTTTACTGACCCTAACCTTAACTGACCCTTTCTCACTGTAATATGTATCTTTGTCCCTGTCTTGCATTGATACAGAAAAACATGGCCACTCTATGAACTAGTAATTATCCTTTGAACTTTTCTCTGAGAACTGAAAATGCCACCATAAGATTTTTTGCCATCGTTGAACAATACAAGCTAAAACAAAACTTCCTTCACGAATGCTCTCGAATATAGGTGTTTTTCTTATGCATAACCTTTGAATTTCCCAGTGTAAGTGCAGGAAGAGAGGCTTGGCATAAAATCACAGTGCTTTTTGTGTGGCAGGTTTGTTGTTGCTTCCCACCGCATTAAAATTAAAGTGAAATGCATTTCTTAATGAAAGCTTTCAGCACTCCAGCCTCTCCATCTATTATGAGGCCCCCCTTTCACACTGAACCACGTCTTGTGTTTATGATATTTTGACTGGAGTTTTTCAAATCTAAAAATTACAGCTCTTGGTGAAAATGTCAGTTGTGATTGGCCCCAGGGGAAACAGCAGAGTCCAAACAAACCATTTATGTATTACATTTACTTGAAAGAAAACATTGTAAAATCCAAACTGAACTCCTTGCTTTTGCAGTTTTTGGACATTATTGTTTAGCTGTCCATTATCTTTAATATTAAATGCTTCTTTTGTCCGGTCTGGTGTATAGACTGCCATCCATTTGCCCCCTGTTGAAAGCCTGTGGTAGGTACAGCGCTGTGGGCAGTGTGTGTCTCTGTGATCAGCAGCATCGTGGACTTTCGAAGGATGCAGTTCTGTCTTACAGTTTCAGAATGTGGAATTGGCAGCAAGCGTCTTTCTCAAATGAATGCTCTGATTGGTTAGGAGTTTTCACCAACAAATACCAAAGTGTCAATGTGGGTCATGGCCTCTCATGTGGAAAACACTGTACTGTGGTCCAAAGCAAAAAAGAAATGATCGGAAGAGGCTTTTTGCCAAAAAATAAAGAGTTTTAACCATCTGAAGCATTTTTTCACTTTTAAGCTTCTGCTTGTTGTACTGTATTTGCACCTCTACAAGAACTTTGATGCACGTTTTTTGCTTCATTTGATATGGAAAATACTATCTCTTTTAAGGTCATATCTGACTCTAAAAGGACGTGATTACATAGCGTTACCCCAGAAAGGTTGTATTGATGTTGCATGCAGCCGTTAGCTATACCTGTCACGATAACAAATTTTGAAGCAGGATTTACTGCGGAAGAAATTATAGATGATAATCGATTATACTGAAACTAAATTTATGTCACTTAAACAAAAACCCAAGAGCAGGTTTAAACCACAAAAACTATTCTAAATCTACAATATTGTTAAAATCATAAGCTACAATAAATAAACAGCAGAATAAAACACTTTATTGCTTAGTTTGCATCTATAATGAGTCATGTAGATTATTAATTCAACCTTCTATGACTCAGATCTTATCGTATTGCCAAAAAATAACCAAAAAAATCTGTCATATATTGAAGTAGAAATTATTATTATTATACTAATAATCGTGACAGGCCTACAGTTAGCATTCTTACTACTTACTTAAACGAATGGGCCTTTTTGTACTTGATTCTCTTCCATGGCTCTGTATTTGTATTTGGTAATATATAAAGTCTGTGTTTGCTTATGTAGTTGCTGAAGAGTAGGTACTAGAGCAGTGCTTCTCGAAAGATATCACAAATCACTCACCAGCACTGAATTCCCATCATCCAACTGTACTACTGAGCAGCATATTTTTGCACTGGATGAAGATACTGTATCACTGTGTCTCTGCTGGAGTGAAACAGGTTGAAGCCATAATATGATGATGCGTGTTTACCACCACCCGTCTCTGGTCTAGAGGCTCATCCTGGGGTTCAGTCTGGGGCTCAGTCTGGGCCTCTGGTCTGGTCGGATCTGGAGTTGCTGGGCTGGGGGGGTTTGCCCTTGTTGTTGTAGAATGTCAGAGTGTTGGCTGAGGTCCTTGTTGCTGTTGTTTTTCATGTTTGTATCACGTGTATCTCAGAGCTCACACGTCACAGGCCCTGCTGTGCTAATCCTCCGCATTGGCAGGAAGAGGAAGTGAAAATAAAAAGAGCTTTATTTCAGGCTGAACGGGATTATACAGTGTTTTAATTGCACTGTTATTGATACATGGCAAAAAGCTAAATATGATTGTTTACACGGGAAAGCAAAATATGGTTTGCTGGTTTGTCTTTCTCAGTTTTTTTTCTGTGTGTCTCTCTCTCTCTGTCTGATTCTTGATTTCAAAACACAACTCCAGGTATTTTTTTGGGAAGGTAACATGTTATAGCATGACTGAAATATCACAAGAGTCCATGATGTGTAATATCGGACCTTTAATGTGTGCTTGTAAAATATCATTCATACAACTTTATTATACAGAACAGGTATTTTCAGGTTTGCTTGGATGATGCTAGTTTCAATAAAATGCTGTCCTTTTATGTAAACTAGGCAAATGAAATAAATGTACTACATGTTACACACAACTTAACTGTGCTAAGATCTTCTATACATCATTTTAAACACCATATCTTATATACATACATATCTTGTCAACATGGAGGATGTTAACAAATATCCCAAAGCTATAAAGTTATGATGCGTTTTTGTGTCTGTTTTTGTGCCTCGTTTTATTCCTGCGCTGTTATGAAGTACAGTAAAGTAATGTGTTCTGGCAGGTGTGATATTTTGTCTAAACCTATATGGCTTTATGGGGCAGACCGGCGCAGGCAGCCCATTCACTTTTTGTATTATTATTATTATGTTTACCTTGCTTTGTGCTCCTGGGAGATGCATACAATGATTCGTCAAAATGGCTGAGATGTTAAGGTCACTGTTAATGCAGCAAATGTGTTTCTTTTCCTCTTGTGTAATGTTCGCACAAACTGAAAACCCCTTAGAGTCTATGGTGCTTAATAATGTACACTAAGCCTGTATGGAGGAATGGGGAAAATGCTGAATAATTCAACTTAATGTCGTCCTGCTATCAAGCGCTCCTGCTGGCCACTATTACAGCATGTTTACTTTACGCATAGAGAAATATTGTATTATTTATGGATTACATTTGTCACCATGTTTGTAAGGACAGGTAAACAGACAGTGAAGAGGTCAGTAATGCAGACTGTGTGCTCATGGCATATTCTAAGACTGCAGTGGAATTAAAAGTGCATGTTACAGTGGTAAAAGGTATTAACCCATCATTTACAGAGTTGCCATTCAATTGTCATTTTTAATCACATTATTTTTATTTAGTACATAATTCCAAAATACAGTATTGTAAAATGATGGCAAGCACTTGTAAATTAAAATACTAAAATGTTTTATTTTGTGTTGTGTTAAAATGTGTTATTTTTTCATATATATGCTGATGATATTAAAGTCCACTAATCCACTGTAGGGTTGGGCGGCAATATCGTATTACGGTATTGTTTCAGAAAGTAGCAGCGGTATCAGTTTCTTTACCGTCTTTTAAAAAATATGCAGCGCATAAGGGCCTAATATAATTTATAAATTTATTTATTTATCATTTATATATATATATATATATATATATATATATATATATATATATATATATATATATATATATTATATATATATATATTTATAATTTATTGATACCTAAGTTTGTTTGCTCAGCACAAATGAATGTGTGGTTGTATTTTCAATTTAATGCTATCACATTTTAAAACTAATAGTAGCCTATAATGTTTCTTTCACCTGCATGGGGAGATTACATTGCCACGTTATGCTCATAAGGGAGACCAAAACAAGATGGCAAGTCAGGCCACAAGTGAGTTGGTTCCAAAAAAAAACAAAAAAACACTAGAACTTCTGCAATTTGGCAGTATTTTGGCTTCAGGCGCACATTTGTTTACATTTTACAGAAACGAAACTTAAAACCACATGTCTCATTTGCATAAAGCGCTGATAAAACAACTCTTTCCTTGTGCGCTGATGCAGTTCAGCTTCTGTCGACTCAGTGGATTATATCTGTTCTTTCTGTGACAGAGGATGTGCGGTGAGTCTTTTCTGTGTGTGTATCACATTGGAGATCGTTCATGTGAAACTTGAAGATTAGATTATAAGTCTGCAGGTCATACGTATCAACCGTATAGCGGTGCAGCTTTGTACCTTACTAACGTCATACTAAAACATTTTGGTAATACGGTAATACCGTATACTCCGGTAAAATCCTGAGAAGGTTTAATGGTATCAAAATTTGGATACCGCCCAACCCTAGTTCACTGTGTAACTTTTTAGCGGAACATCCGTCAACTGCTTCTCTCCATGGGAATGTTACCTGGAATATTCCACATTATAGCATTACACTTACTAATGTCTAGGGAGATAGCAGGTGTCACCAAAGGGCCAAGTTATATTTCAGATCTGTGGAGAGAAACACAAAAACGAAGGTCAACTGAAACCCATGTTATTAAGTAAATGCAAGATTTACACATTTAATGCCATACCAGGATATTCCAGACAAAACAATAGCATCTCAAGCAAGCAGGTGGTGAAGTTCTGCTACAGTTTTGTCCATTTAGTCATATTATTATTAATTATACCCACAAAAGACAAAACTTTGAAAACTTAACATGTATTATACTTATTTAGATCCATTTTAATAATTTATTAGTCTAGATGTATTGCATTGCACCCACATTACAATGTTGTACAGAAAAACAAAACTTACAAATAGTTAAACAAAACAAAACTATTCAGATGCACTCAAAGTTATATATAGTAGAAGTTTGCAATGTACACACGTAATTCCCCTTTAACAGTGCAAATCATTTGTTGATGTTTATTCCATTAACAACCATTAGAAGCTGCCTGTTTACATCACAGCACCAGCGTCTGACCTTATCCATAATTGAGTGCACTGTATTATTCCATTGGCCTGACTTTAAACACTTTAATTAAACACACCTTTCGTCCCTGTCGCGGCTGCTGTCCGGACCTACACCTGCACAGTAAATCTTTGAGCAGATGTGGCTTCGCTCCGTCCACTGTTGACAGAACACTTGACCTTCAGAGCAGCCAAATGCCATCTGATTGAATGCACACAGACAGGGCCCATAACCACTATTTATTTTGTTACTAGAGCACCTCTTTTTGTTTAAGAATGTCACTGCATATATTCTGTGTGTATATGGGGTGAGGAGAGGTCTTAAGCAATAGAATTACATCGGATTTCCATTGTGTTGAAATGGCATTTGAATTACTTCTGTCCATGGGCTTATTAATGTACCATAACGATGCTTTATATACTTCCAAACATTCATTGTATTATAAGAGGCTTCTTAGTTTTATTTATTAAGTTATTGTCAATTTTATTTAATATTGGCCTAGTAAAAATATTTTTTGTCCTTTGTTTTATGCTAGCCAATAGTGTTTTGTAGTCCAATCATGTTTTCTGTATTTATTTATTTATTTCTGTAATTATTGCGTTATTATTATTACATTTAAGAATTTGACTAACTTTTGTTCAACAAGGGAATTTACTTGGACACAACAGTTCACAAATTACATGAATAGGCCTGTATAACCACATTAATGTAATAATATATGTTCTGAAGGCAATACTTAGTAATGATTTTTTTTTTTTACCCTGAAAGATAAACTTCTTTTATATTTAAACTGTGAAAGATTAAAAATTCACTTTGGTCCAGCCACCCTTATAAAACCTCATGTAAGCCATTATGTATGTAGGCTAGTTAAATGTTTAATTTATATTTAGAAACCCTCTGCCATCTCAGTCTTCCTTGGGCACTGAGCTCACGTGATAGCCTGTCCGCACTGTAAGGCGTGTTAGCTTAAACAGCCGTGTAAATGTAGTCATGTTTCCCAATGCTGTTGTCAGGATTAATCCGCTGTTAGCCTAATGCATGCTAATGAGAAAGTTGTGTGCGTTTGATTGTCAATAACGTGAAATACGGCAATGCTCCCTAAATGCCTGCTCCGTTCAATAACCTATTAAAGTTGAATCACAGATAAGTTGGCGCGCATCAGGAAAGCAATCTGAAATTTGTGCTGACATTGATCCAGAGGAAGGAGACCTATTGCTCCGATTAACACTGTTGCCCCGGGAGACGAGTCCCTTGGCCATTAATAGCCCACTGTCCCAGATTTTACTTAGACCATATCAAATACTTATATATGAGTTACACAGCGAGGGCATAGTAGGATACACAGAGCACATGTGCATTTTCATTTCAACATGGGTTTGAATTAATGGAAAAGTTAATATGATTATTCAGCCACACATCTAATAATGATTGTTGGTGTGGTATTTATTATGATAAATTATGCTAGCTTTGCATTCCTGTGTTATTGAGAACCAATTATTTATGAAAGTTATTGCAGTGAAAGTCATGATGGACCATTTATTTGCACCATCTGAGGAGAAAATAATAATTTCTCTTTTTTATTGTAATTCTGATGATATTAACATTATTTATTATTATTATTTATTATTATTTAACCTGTGTGGTAATGTTATAACCTGGCTCTCAGCAGATTGATATGTGCCGCCCTTTAAAGAGAGTTCTGCATATCAATATTGTGAACTCATAAAAATTGTGAGAATTAATCTTGCTGGCTAGGCTAGTAAGGTTGTGCATAGTTCAAATTAACGTTTTAAAGATCTAGGCCCACTGTTATTTAATATGTGGCACATACCCAAAACTCCAGTCCTCAGTTCTCAGCTTGGATAAATATAAACAACATATCTTGTCCACAAAACTCTTCCTTATGGACCACCCAAAGAAAATGTAATTGAAACACAAATGTGACCTCAGGCAAGACACTTCCTCCCACAATGCCTAGATGTTGCCTAGAGTGATGGTGGCGCAGATTGACAGCCTCGCTTTCATCAGTCTGCCCCAGGGCAGCTATCACTACAATAGTAGTGTAGATAGTATATTTGATAAAGAGGCACAATGTCACAAACATGCATTCTTACTGTGTACAGGGTTTCCTCTCCACAGATCTGACTTGTGACTTGGCCTAGTTGTGTCAATAGCTTGTCTTCATGAAGAAAATAAGTTATACTATGGAACATTCCAGAGACAGCAATACCTCAATGAAGATAAGCAGGTGATGGACACTCCACCAGAAAAGTTAAAAAATGCACCTAAAAGCGTGACAGTTGCAGTTGTTTGTAAGGGTCTATTATTAAGTGAAATCCCATTGTTGTATCTTAATCACATGTTGCCTGTTGGCCCATTATCTCTGCTGTCAAACATGGAGAATAACTCATTTACTAGAAGCCTTTTGGTCCAGATACGGCTATTTTCAGTACCTCTATGATTATATCTTCACAGTTTCTTTTGCAGCTGCTTTGGCCTTTGCCCCTCTCCATTTTGTCAAAAACATCTAATACTGAGTAAACACCCATTAAACTGAGCTCCTGTCAGGTTTGTTTATTTCTAGCTCACATTCCCAACAAATTGTGTATCTTTAGTTGACCTCAAAACCACAGCAGATTTGATGCTAGAAGCTTACTTTTTTTTTTTTTTTTTTTCCAGTAGCTTTGTGGAACTAGTAATAGCTGTAGTAGTTTTATGTACTTTTGTCTTCTACTTGAAGTTTTAGTGTTGTTTCCTCATCAAAAACATACCTGGAATTTTGAAAACACTCAATTCTACTTTGTGATGTCATGTGGTAATACAGAAAGTGCTCCACTGTGCTTTAAAACTACGTACACCTTCACTAGAATAATTTGGATGATTTCAGTCTACTTATCTCTACTGAACTAAAGGTTAAAAGTAACTGTTAACTTGAAAATTACCTCTATGTGACATCACAATGTGGAACAGAGCATTTTGAGTTTTGGAGTTGTAGACAGACTAATGATAAAAAAATAGCTCAAACCTCTAACGTGCACCACTTTGTATGTCAAAAGCTTTTTGTGTTTTAAATATTTTGAAATGTTTTAGAAGTTTGAATGTTAGTATAGTTTGTAATGATATCAAAATTGTGAGGATCAAAAATAAAAGTAATGTGCATGTCTGAACTCGGAAACTAAGGCTACGTTTATATGATGACGGTCTAAACAGAAGACGGAAAAGTGGCATCGCATTTTCACTTTTTATTCCGTGTTTAGATGAGCATTTTCTGTAGGAAATCTGTGTGCATACGGTGACGCAAAAGTGTGTGGAATTTGATTGGTTATGCATGCCATCTGACATGTTCGTTTCTGTGTACTATATGTGTGTGACGTAAACACGTACGCAATGTGAGCAGATCTGACCAGAGTTTTGCATCTTGGGCAGTGTAGACGGAAACGCTATGGCAGAGCATATTCAACTTTTCCACTCCGGAGGGTGGTTTCAGATTTTTGTGTTTTTAAGCCCTAAAAACGCAAACACAGCCTAAACAAAAGGCACTTCTGATCAAATATTTTGTAGTTTTACCCGCAATTTTGAAATCATACATAACGAAAACCAATATAGACAAAAAACTCCTGCAACCACCCTTCTCTCCACACTCATCGCACACAAAACAACACAAAAAACAGTGGGCACACAAAGTGTCCATCAAGTCCATTTCGTTCAAGATGTTCAAAAAGGGTGTCTATTAGAATCATACTTAAACTAAAACTATAACCTAAAGAATCTGAATCTAAACTAGACTAAACTTGTATTTCAAAGTCACATTTTGAGTTAACAATGCTTGAGTATATTGAGTATACATTCTGACTCTGCCAACAAGTGTCTGTCTATAGTGGCTGTCCTGTCACATTAGAAACAGTGCATCAGAACAGCTGTGAAATGCCACAGCCCTTTTCTAAGTGTGCCAATTATTTGAATACCAGATGTCTCGCTGTGCCTGTAGTTTAATGCCAACTCATGGGAGCGGCTAAAATTAGAGCCACTCCAAAATGTGATTGTCTGATTTTACAAGGAGATCGAGCACCGAGAACATGCCTTATGACTCCCAGAGACAAATCCCCCATTCATTAAACAGCCCCCCAGGAGTACGCAGATAAAATATGACACATCGCTTCAAAATGGCCATCTCATCCATTTAATTATGAACGCTGTGATAAGGCCATCTCCGTTAGAATAAATACGATCAGTAATGAGCTATGGCATCCCTGTTTACGCGCGCCTTGACATTAACATTGTAGATAAGGAACAGAGGATACCAGGAGGAAGAAAGCAAGGAACTGTACAATAAAAGGATGTGTTTATTATATGAAAGAAAGGAGTAGGGTGGTATGTTAATTTGAAATGTAATTGTGATCTGACCCTATAGTGTTGTCATTATCGGGATTAAATTATCCAGTGTTTCTATGTTTTATGCTGCTCTATGCCTGAATACAGACACTTTTTTTCTCTTTCTGTTGGTTCATCCCTTTATCACATCAAGCTCTGAAAAAACTCATGAATAGAGCTTTTTCAGGATCGGATAGATGATATCCGATATTATAATAATTGTTCAAGAAACAAACTTTTTGAACATGCCCTAGTTATTTACAGTAAGGAATATCTTTTATTGGTGAAGTCCACTGAAGTAGCCCAAGGCATGAACCTGGACCATAGTTATCATTAAGGGTTTTAATGAGTCATCTAGAACCTATTTCTAAGCAGCGTTGGGCACGTTACTTTGAAAAAGTAATTAGTTATAGTTTATAGTATAGAGTTTGTAAGTAGAGTTATCTCCACTATAAAAGTAACCAGTAGTTACCAGGGAAAGTAACTATTACTACTACGTTTTTTTTTTAAATGCACACTCACACTAGGACACACTAGAACCGTGCCATGCTCAAGCACGATTGTTGTGGGTTCTATATTCTGCACTCACACCTGCACGACTGAACTGGGCCACAGCCCGATGACATCATCACATAGCACTGTTTGTTTACATGATGCGCAGCAGAGCTAACGCTTTTAGCGGAGCAAATAAGTCCAGCGGCATGAAATATGAATAGTGAGGCAGCTTTCAGCCCTGCTGCAATACAACCTCCTCCATGAGTTTATGGATGTAATAACAGCTTGGAAGAAAAATTTATTTTTAACACCGTTTTCTAAGTCATTAGGACCAATAGACATACTCAGTCTAAAAAAAAGATAGGGGAAAAAGTCCATTAACACAGTTATGCAAATAATTTTAACTATATTCTTATGTTTAGTTTTATTATTCATATATATTTTGTAAATTTAATTAATCTCATTTTTTGATTCTGGACTGTACCTAAATGTTGTAAGAAAATGTGTAAGACAATGTGCTGTAAGAAATATTGGAATGGAAAGTGTGATTTTATAAAAGAAGGGATGGATGGACAGAAATGAAGAAGAGGAGAGTACAGAGAAGGGTCCTTAAGGTGCACACAGGGGGGATAAATGTCACTGAGCTTCAGTCACAAATCACTGTGCACCGTTTGCTCTGACCTTCACTTCTCTATCAGGAATTAGCAGCTTATTAATAAATAATGTGGGTGTATACGATGATCATAACATAGTTAACCCCAGAGACGGCCTGGTGGACTGCATAATTGTGACTTTAAACTTGCAGTCATTGTGTTCAGATATGACAATTATTACACAAAAAACTTCAGTGAAACATGTTGTAATAAGAAAGTTTGAGTTGAAGAGTCTTGATATACTTTAATGCCACAGTGGTAATAATAAAAATAGACAGCAGGATGTCATTTCCAACTCGAAATATCATCCTGCCATTTTCTTCCACTTTATCCGGGGCCAGGTCGCAGAGGCAGCAGTCTGAGCAGCACACCTCTTCCAGCTCTTCCGCGAGGATTCCCTGGTGCTCCCAGACCAGCTGAGAGACATGGTCCTTCCAGCGCGTCCTGGGTCTTCCTTGGGGCCTCCTCCCAGTGGGACATGCCCAAAACACCTCCTCAGGGAGATTTCTAGGAGGCATCCAGAACAGATGCCTCAGCTGCTACTCTGAAGAGCAGCAGTTCTACTCCGAGCTCCTCCTGTGTCACTGAGCTTCTCACGCTATCTGTAAGGGAGTGCTCAGCCACCCTGCAAAGGAAACTAATTTCAACCAATTCTTGTCCTTTCAGCCATTACCCAAACTTCATAACCATAGGTAACTGAAATATCATTTTTTTAAAATAATACTAACTGATCTTATAACACCAAATCAAGACCAGTCTAAAACGTTTATATATACACTCTATATATTGATCAGTATCAATATTATATTCACATTTCAATATAGGTATCGATTCGTATTCGGGTACTGGTTTCTTGTCAACCTTTAATGTAGTAGTTGTGCAAGTAGTAACAGACCTAAAGTGTCAACATGTACATCTTGCTGTACATTATATAAAAATAGCAGTAATATTAGTAAACATGTAGTTGTAAAAGAAAACTTTGTAGTATCAATGGCAGCATTATGTTTCATTCATCCAGCACTTCACACATAAGTGCACCATATGTTACCAACAAATTTCTGAAAGTATTTTTTCAAGTGCTTTTCTTTTACTTGATCCTCTTATATTACTACAGTTGCTCCTCTAACAGAAATCTTTTCAGTGAATTGTTGGCCTTTTCTCCACCTGTAGACAAAGTGCACCTCTCTCTCCCCACACAGAGTAAAGCTAGTGTGTTTTCAGATATGACTGGACCTAATTGGACGCTATGTGTTTCACTTGGCTGGAGAGGAGCTGGAGGACACCATTTGGCTGCAGTGTGGTGTGAAGAGATCGATGGATGTAGGGATGATTATGTCGTGATTATCCGCCCGAGAGGTCCTTGTATGGCTTGAAGAAAGGTGATTTGAAGGCACACCTCTTGGCTGCCTTGCGCTCTTCGGCGGGTGACGGTGAAGCAGAGCGGTCAGCCTCCTCTCTCATCTCCACCTGCCTTATGCTGCTCAGTCTCTCCAAATCAACCCATTATTTGCTTCATTTCCCCACAGCCTGACTCAGCTAGTGAGGAAAGTCAGCAGCTACACGGAGAAGTGTGTTTTACTTCTTCTGCCGGAAAAATATGCAAAAATTCCCTTTGGTTTTAGAGTACTAACAGGGATACTGTGGGAAGCATTGTCTTTAGTCTGCCACCTGTTTATGAGATATTACAACCTGGAGAATTAAGCCGTTAGTGATTTTGTAATCTTAGAATTTGGAAACTATAGGCTTGTCACTATAATTACCGACTTATCGTTCAATATATGAAAGCTGGAACAAGATTTTTTTGGAGTCAGTATTTATGGTGGGTACATTTTCTTTGCATTACTGAGGATTTTTTGGGTTATTTTTTGGTTATGTAAGATTACGGCCATAAAAAGTTCATTTAATCACTTCTATGGCTCATTACAGATGCAAAGTACTATGTACTTACTAAGTTTTGCTATTTATTTATTGCTGCCCATGTTTTTTTTTTGGTTTTTTTTTTACAATATATACATTCAGACAATTTTTTTATGATAAAAATCTGCTCTTGGGTTTTTGTGTCAGTCACATAAATTAGTTAATAATTTCAATATTATCTCTTTATTGTCTCTATTTACTTAAGCAATATATCACATTTTGCAATGTGTTATCGGTGGATGGTCTGCTACTTGTCTATGAGATGTTATGGCTTTGTTTGTAATGATCATAACAAAATGTAATGTACCTGTATGCATATTACGTGATGATTTTTGGTACCACCTCTAGAATAAATACAAAATTGACTTTTGCTTGTCCAAAAGAGTTATGACATAAAGCTGTGATTTTGTCGTACAGATACTTGGTTCAGAAAATGCACTTTATTGGTAATTGGTCACATTTTTATATAGCACTTCTCCACCTTCAAGGCACTCAAAGCGCTTTACATCAAGAAACCACTCACCCATCCACACACACATTCATACACCACTGTACTCAGTCATTGGGAAAGAGGTGGATTATGTGTCTTCCCAAGGACTCAATAACAGCATTCTTCTGTGGGAGCTGGAATCGCACCGCCAACCTGTGGGTCAGTGGATCTAGCAGCTCAACCAATGATGATTATGTTGAGAGCAGGACTTTATTTTCACATTTAAATGTCAGCCTTGTATTAAAACATAACAAGTAAAAAGTCCTTAGCATCCATGAAACTGCTAATTCAAAATCACTTCAAGTTAGAGAAGTAATTTGAGTGTGTGGAGATCGGGGTGGGGCATGAGAGGGTTTTATTTTATTTTGTTTATTTTTGGGTTTGTTAAATATTAAAATCAATAAAGACAGTTGGACTAGTAAGCACTGAAAGATATAACTAGAATTTTGAATATTATAATCCTTAGACCATTATAAGTTGCTGTAAAAGTCAGCTCGAGTAACACATCGGACTCTGCTCATAATAAGCTTAAAGTATTTGAAAAGCCTCTTCTGGGAAAATAGATCATAAATTTACAAAATGTATAAAAAAATAAAAGAAATAAAAAATCCCAACAAAAATAACTTTAATGTACCATTTAAGACTAGACTTTCCCTTCTTTGTCCACATATTCACTCGCAAATAATGATATGCTAATCCCTGGATCTCATGGCTGTGTTTGTTGGGTTAGCCTGTTATTTATTCAGTGGCATCTCGCCTGTTACATCCCTGTGTGTACTCAGATCAGGCTCTAGTCTTGCATAACCTGCATTAGGGAGAGGCGCTGTTAAAGGTGACCCCTTCAGAGGGCCATAATAAGCCTGACTCTGATAACCTTTGATTTATTTCACTGCACATAACACGGCGCCAAAATGAGTGAGTTCAATTATTCCGGCAGCAAGGGTAGAATCAGCTTTGTTGTGTTTTATTGAAGGGGATATGAGAAGTAAATCCACATTGACATATTAAAATCTTAATCTTGTTCTTTTAAAATTGCAACACGTAGCTACGTGCTCCACCCTATTTTAGCAATAGAACCCTCAGAATCCCAAGTCGAAGTAGATCCAACTCACTCATTATGTCTGTTTTTAAATCTCTTCTGTTTTAAGCCGGATGCCCTTCCTCATGCATACTCATTAAGTATACTAGTAACTGTTATAAGAACACACATTTCTCTCAATTGAAAGATAATATGGAAACCAGACTGCAAAATCCATAATAATCAAATTACCATACTTCCACCCTATTACCATGTTATCACTGTTGTAAAATAAAGTGTGACCATTTATCTTTCTTTTAAACAAGCCAAGAATGTCATCTTTTTGTTTTGACCCTCACGTGCCTTAGCCTGCTGTTAGGTCTCAAATGCCGGGCTGAAAAACTTGGTGACAGTTTGTCTCGCAGATAAATTGGCCGCAGCCGAAGAGCTTCCTGCTGGTGACCGGTCTGTGCTGTCTGTGCCATGAACATGCAATTTCCCCCTGATTACGCTCCCCACGGATAAGTAAACACATGCACCATCTTAGCCTGCGAAGCACAAAAGAGAAGGGCGGGCAGTAGTCACTGGGAATTATCTTCACCAGGACCATAGCAGTTTTACTCATAGTTGGAAAAGATTTGGCTTTTGACCTAAGTTGTCCAGTTGTTTAGGATTATAGTGTTTGTATATAGGCTTTAGAAAAAGGTGTTTATTTCAGCTAAAATCCAGCCACACAATTAAAGGTCCTATATAACACAAAATTGATTCTTGTGAGCTTTAGAATATTACCTCCTCAAAAAGATACCTGGAGTTGTGTTTTGTTTCATTCACACATTTTTGAGTAACCCTTTATTATTAGTCTACGTTACTTGTCTACATCTCCCAAGCCCAAAATGCTCTGTTCCATCTTGTGGTGTCATGTAGTGGTAGCATCGTTTACCTTAAGTTCAGTAGAGATTGGCAATTCCAAGTCTAAAATGATCCAAATGGTTCTAGTGAAGATGTATAGTGTTTAAAAACATAGTAGAACACTTTCTTTATTACCATGGTAAATCCAAAGTGTAGAGCAGCTTGTAATTGATGAAATAATTAAAAATGCATATATAAAATAATGTCACATTATAAATTTGAGTTATAGCTGAAATCATGATTATTGGAAAGAATTATTTATGAAGGTCAAATGATACACTAACATAAAGGACACTTTATTATTAATGTCTTGTGTTTTATGTGATGTCTTATATTTCAAAAGCCTCCTTTTTATTACATTTTTATAATTGATAGGAGCAATATTTGTAATTATACCTAAAATTTGATTCATTATACAACCCTAGGAGGAATTGAGTGAGTGAAGGTTTTTATAATATTATTATCATCTACATTTTTAAAAATCCATGCAAAATGATTGTGTTTCCAGGCTGTAAGGGCATCCAGCAAAACAACATTCTAAACACAAAAAAGAGAGCGACCTAACTGCATACATGGCATTAAGACAGACACTTGGTATATTATTATTGTTATGGCACTCTTTTTTAACATAATATGACCAAAATTATACACATATTGGATAGATAGCAGCTTTTTCCTTATCAAAACCAATCCTCTGCCTCTTTCTGCTCTGTCATTTACAAATTGACAAAGTCTTCTATTTATCTAAGAGTCCATTTCAGATGAAAGTGAGATGTCCTTTTCTTCACGACTCTGAGTAAAAGTTAAGGAGCGCTGTATCCTTGTGATTTCTTGGATGTCTGGCTGAGATGAGAGTATAACTGACAGATATAAATGAAATATGAGTGTTCCCTGGACAGCACTGCTTTTCCCACATCTCCACTTCAATTTAGCCAGAGCAGCGTACCCACAGACTGTACACCAATCAAAGTACTCATACAGCCAAGTCAAACGCCATTGCGAAGTCAACAAAAAGCTAGAATATGTGTACATACGTATGGTTTGTATGGTTATTACTGACACACAAACAGCGGGTTCTATGTAAAATTTTGACAGCAACAACCAGTACATTCAAAGCGGTACATTGACCACCATAGTACGATTACTGCTATTGGAAATCTGTGTCCATAACCATGGGAGGGATCTGGCTGCAGACCTCCACCCAGAGGACCCCAACCCTCCAATCCAAAAGTTGACGGCTTTACTCTGGTAACACATACACAGACAAAATGGCTGTTATTTGTACTTGTGCATTTATTTGTATTTAGGCAACATGTTGACAATTAAATGTTTTATTTTTGGACATCTTCTAAACTACTAATTTGCCCATGGAAAAAAGTAGAGCTGAGACAACACAAATGTACTTTCAAATTACTATTAGAATACTAGAAATGCATTGGGGATTAAATTTATAATATGCAAAGTGCTAATAAGTGCAAAAAATGAAATGTACTTTTAATAACAGTTAATTGCAAACTGAAATTGAAACTGCTGGAGGTGCATCCTGTGGGAGGTCTGTGGAGTATGGTCCTCTGGGTGTAGCTTGATAACCACCAAACACTACTAGGCAGTAGATACAGGGGCAAAAGGTTACTTAAGTGAAAGTAAAAGTATGACATGAAAAACTACTTAAGTACCTTAAGAGTAAAAAGTAAATGTGTTTTGCAAAGATGTTTAGAACTATTAAAGCATCAAATGTAGTGATTTGGATTTAGCAGATTTTAAGTGATTCAATTGATTTCTTAATTTTTCTAGCTGTATTTGTGTATTTGGCTTGCTCAAGTTGAGACATTAACTCTATCTTTCTATCTATCTATTAAATCTAAGCCATTTCAGCAGAAGAAAAGCATATTTTACTTTTGAATCCAAATTTATATTGTAGTGGAAAGTACAGATACACAAATGCTCACAAATGTAGTGAAGTAAAAGTATAAAGTATCCAGTGTAAAAAGGACTTAAGTTAAAAGTCTGTACTTAAGGATAGTACACAGGCATTGTTTGATCCTTGACATACTTTTGAAAGAGAAAATATCTGTTGCTATTCTCTTCCCAGTCTCTTACAAACTCCCCTTAAATATATAACTGTATATAACTGTCTTGTGTGGAATAGTTTGAGAAAGGTTAATATTGGTGCATGGATGTATTCCCTGTGTGCTTTATGGCAATCCAAGAGGCTCACTTTTCTCTCCTCACATCATTCAGACTGATATGGGAGAACGTGCCTCTCAAATGGATGCTGCAGTTATACTGTGATGGCTGTTTACCTGTGGGTGTTGATGTCTTTATAATCTCACTCAAACTCTATTACTGCACCTTGTTAGCTCCAGTATCAGAAAACATCTCGTCAAAACTGGTCCCATATATCCACAGACTTGCTGTGAATTTTGCAAAAGTTTAAACTATTTCGGCTTGCCTTGTCATCCTGAAATTGCCTGCCAACAACTCTGGCCCTTATCAAATAATTAGTATATTTTCAATAATATAAATGTCAACTATTCCTGGGCTTTTTTTTTCTCACTTTCACTGCAGTATATAATGTTTTCAAATGTGCTGCCATAGCTAATCTAGATTTTAAAAAAAGGAAAAAGAATTAATATCATGAATTAACAAATTAAAGGAGCTGTACCAGATTTTTACTGGTACGTGAAAAACAGAATTCATTTTGAACTGTTTTTGCAGTGGTCCAGAGTTATTCCTCACTTACCTTATGCATTCTGAGCATTCTAGTTGTAGTCTAGAGCTACTAACATGCTAACTGCGTACTTACTGACTCTCAGACAATG